CCAACGACATTTGTATTGAACTGGCTTGATACAGTAGTTACGAGAAGAAAGCTCAATGGACAAAGCTGTAAGGAGGTCTGAGTAGATAGTAGTGCCTCTTAGCTTTAATCTATAGGTATGAAGAATAAAGGCAGGGTTCTCAATACAGATATTTATTGTTTCCCCATTTCAAATCACACTCTACATCTGCAGCTTTATTTCTGTTTATAGAAATAAGGACTGTAAACACTTTCTCTTTTATATATAGAAGAAATGGCATATTTCTAGTGGAAAAAAAGTTCTTTCCATTACAAAGAACATTGCAAAAAGCTCAGTCATGATAGCTGCGTTTTGCGCATGCACTCAGTATTTAGGCAGCAAAATCCCTCAGAGGGTATTGGTAATTCTCAAATTCAACATGATGAAAAGTTGTATGGAAGGTTGATTAACTTATTAAACAGTGAGGTTTGTTCTGTTGATTATGGGTTGACTAATAAAAATTTGTTTTGCAAGGCACTATTTCTCAGTTTTATCTCCCACGTTACAAAGGATTCCATAAGGATGGATCTACGTGCAATTATTTCCTATTGGACAGAAATCCCTTTTGCCCAAGTTGTCCAAATACTTTCCACAAATCCTCCTATATACTGCAAAATTCCAGATGAGTGGAATCTGATTTTGTTTTTGTCTGCTCTTTACTCCATTTATTCTGACTACTAGGAAGTCTTTAATATCCCTCATTCTATCTAGGCAAGTCAAGCTTTCCTGAAATAATTCTTACTGAAAAAAAAAAAGACCAAAAAACCACCAAAACCAAACAGATGAGAGAAAAAACTTTGGAAGGTATTTGTGTTTAAAAGAAAAATCACCCTGGACTCAAAGCACAAATATTTCACTACCTGAATGTTAAACATAGTGCACAAAGATTCAGAGAAAGAGCACCACTTCTTAAAAGATATTTTTCAACTCACTGAAGAAACTCACTATTCTAAATTCGTTTAATCTATAATACACTGTCTTGGTACTACAGACTTTGTCTTTCTGCTGGCAGAGTACTCCTACCAAAGGCCTTAAAATATGTTTACAGAAATAATTTGCTTCTAGGTTCTGAGAATCTCAAAATTGCCTAAGCACAATTATTCTTCCTTAAAAACATGATGACTATAAGCTCTTAAGAGTGAGTTGCAATTCTTACGCAGCATTTTGAAACCAACAGATAGTATTAAAAAATCCAAACCAAATAATATGATACTGTAAGCCATTATACAGTTGTGTGAGTTGGTAAACTAGCAACAGTTATTAATTCTGATAATGTGCAGATGTTAACTCATTTTTCTTCCTGTAACACTACTGCCTCTTCAGTGTCTATCAGCGTTCCCAATGCTTACACCCAAAATATTTCTACCATGAACTAAAATAATGTTTAATCACAGATTTCTACAATCAGTCCTTCATTTCAGATCTGCATGACTAACACCTCTGCTATCCCCACTTCTTTTGTAGATGGTTGGACCATTACAACTTTTAGAAGGAAGTCTCCTTTGCACTTCTGCACTGAATCTATGTTCTGTGGAATATCTGCAGGCACCTAGAAAACCAGCGGTTTGTTTTAGAGATTAGACTTGCAGAGATTGGTCTTGTTCTTCGTTGTACTTTTTCCTTACTACTTTATTTAGCTACGATCACCTGTAAGATGAACTGAATATAAAGGTAATTGGAATTGCATTGGTTACCTTGAGACAGAGTTGAGCAAGTGAGCTACCTGCTAATTTCCCTACTAAAATGTTTGGTTTTCCTTGTCTTGTGATTTCTGTTGCAGTTTTCTACTTACCAGGTGTACACAGTGTTGCTTTTACTAAATTTAGATAAAATGCATTACCACAGAGTACTTGAAACTTACATTTTGGAGTTTGGTAAATATGTCCATTGCACAGGTATTAGCAGGTTGTTAGCTTATTATGGATAAAGAAGATTGGAACAGTTGTTTTGAAGGGAGAGTATTTTACAGTAATTATACGTATTATACATAATTATGCAGTAAACTCTTGATTAGCTGTCGTTGGCTCATCAATGAGGGGATTAACCGGCACTCACTTCGGGTTCCAAACAGTGCATGACAGAAAATACGTGGTCTTTGAGTAAGGCCTCACTGCCTAGTACTGTTCAAAGCTGTTCCCGTTCTTTACAGGAAATGTATCTGCAGGCTTTTCAAAGTGAAGGTACTAAATATGCTTGGGTAGCTTAATTTACATATGTTTTATAATAAGCTTTTTTTTTTTTTAATTTGCATTATCCTACTTTGTCATTACTCCATGCAGTTGAAAGTGAATGTACTTGCACTTTCGGAAAAAAAATGCATACAGCTGTAATAAGAATAAAATAAAAAGAAAAAAAAGAATTGAAAACTTGATGTCTAGATCTGTATAATTAGGTAGTACTTAGCACAAATTATCTGACATGCACCTTGAAAGAAATAAGATATAACCCCCAAACATGCCTTTTCCTCGTAATCCTGTCAGATACGATACATATATGCATCCTGCAAACATACTCTGAACTGGAATTTGAGATGCAAAATACTTTTTAGCCTCTCTTTGATTTGGAAAGACATGATGGGATAATATACTAAATACTAGGCATTTTCCAATATTCGTGGTTTGGAGGCTTTTATCTAGCACCTAGGTGTACTAATAATACAAAGTTTAAATCTATTTTCATTGTATCTAATTCAATCAAACTGCATAACCCCCTGAAGTAGTAGGCACGCATTTTTGTGTATCTACTACCTAAGGTAATTTTTGGAGCAACTCTGTACGCTTTTCTGCAATGAGTAAGTCACCCAAGCTGCAAAAGAGGTCTCCAAGAGAAACGAAACAGACCCCTGAGAGATGTATCAAAAATTAGGCTCTCAGTTATTTAAATCATTCTCATCACTACAGAGCACTCATCACTACAAATGCATACCAACATATATTACAAGCATAAAAGTCACGTTCTTTTTGTAGCTCACAAAAGAACACAGTTCTGGCTTACAATCGCTCCAACAGCTTAACTTAAAAGTAGGGACTGTTTATATCTTCTAAATGGACAAGATCAAAGACAATTTTGATAAGTGTAAATTTAAGACTGAAGAAAATTAAATCAAGAAGGAAGGTTGGCATTATGCATGTCAAATGCTATCTATTTTATATTTTTCCAACATTTTGCACGTATCCCCACATTAAAATAAATAGACACACCTACGCACATACTAATAAAGCTTTTCTTTTTAAATAAAAAAAAAAATTAAAGGCCCTGCCCAGCTAGAATTGCATGCATCTAGAAGCTACAGGCTCCAAACTGGCAACTGCAGAAGGAATGACTTAGGACATACATTGGCCTGAAAGCCAAAAAAAGAATCCCCCTCTCCAAACAGCACTACAACCACCCCAATGTCACACACTGCCCACATCTGATTGTCCAGTGATGAGACTGCCTCTCAGAACTCCTGTCATTGTCTCAAAAAAAAAAAAAATGTGCACAGACCAGGCAGCGGCTTAATAACAGTTGTTTCTTTGTGGCATTTTTTTCTTCTGCTGTTATTAAAATAAGCATAAGACTGGTTTCGTAGGATCTGAAAAGGGCTTCAAATATCTGTAAGATCCATTCATTAACCCTCACCCACGTAACATGAAAATAATTACACAGCCCTATTACTATTTTTATTTAATGTAAGGCTCTTACCCATACACTGTCCCTCCTTCTTTTCAAATGAAGGTGCACAACCAGCTAAAAATTTTTGTAATATTAAAGGGGAAGCAAGATTTAGGATTGCATTAGTGCTAATCTCCTTAAAAGAAGGACACAGTATCAGCAGAAAGAGGACACAGACAATTTACCCAGAAACAAACATCCAAGTAAAACAAAGAACAATTCATTGCTATTGCTCTGTCCTCTGGCAGCTGAAAACAAAATTAATCTCCACAATAACCTTTCAAGGAGACACATGGCTTCTCCTACAGGCTTCAAACCAAAGAGCTCCCATTGATATCATGAAGAGTTGAGTTTTAATAAAGACTTTCTTATTCTCATCCTTACACCCAATTTTCCATAAAATTTATCCTGACATGGACTCTGCCACTAGGCACACACTGCAGAATGACTTTTCTTTTTTCAGTAATCATAGAATGACATAGGCTGGAAGAGATCTCAGAGATCATCTAATCCAACCTCCCTGTCATGGGCAGGGACGCCTCTCAACTAGATCAGGCTACTCAAGGCTCCGTCCAACTTGGCCTTGAACACCTCTAGGAAGGGGGCATCCACAACTTCTCTGGGCAATTTATTCCAAAGTCTTACCGCCCTCGTACTGAAGAATTTCTTCCTAAAATCTAATCTAAATCTGTTCTCCTTCAACTTAAACCCATTTCCCCTTGTCTTATCAGTGGACACTCTTGTAAAAAGTCCCTCCCCAGCCTTCCTGTAAGTTTCCTTCAGGTATTGGAAGGCAGCTATTAGGTGTAATGTGCTGTTCTTGCAAAGAACCACCCTTTCCATTTATGAAATCTGGGCTTCTTGTTGCAGGCGGCCTCTGCTGGTCTTCCATTATCAGAAAAAAATATTTTTGTTGCTGAGGGACGAGGGAATAATGCGTGCACATAAACCACGTTTTGTGTAATACTCTTTTCATTTTAGTTTGAAATAAATATAACAAGAGGCCGAAATATACTCACCTGCTTTGTTTATATCAAGCTCTGATAACTTTAAGGCTAGTTCACTGGAGTTCCCACCCGGAGAGGACACAAGTATGTCATGTAATGCATTTCTTCTACCTGTTCTTCCTGAAGCAATAAAGTCTGCATATGTAGATTCCACATCAGTCATTGCTAACAAATATCCACATAGCAGTACCTGGGTGGGAGAAAAAAGAACACCACTTAGAACACTAGAGAAACAGATGACATTATGGAATGTAAATAGAAGAACTAGACGGTTCTCATTGTGGAGTAGACTGGCTATGCAGTAAGCAGCAAGAGACGACACTTGAATCTCAAGATTTGGAGAAATTACAGAAGAAACAAAGTAGAAAGCAAAAAAGGTGTGTGGATTTTATGCAATCTGTATTCAACAGCATTTTAAACAACTTCATTTTTCATACTTCATAAAGCACTAGTCAGTACTTTATAAAAGCAATGACCTCAGCAACATAATTTCTTTATAGAGCTGTCTCTGCTTTTAATATTAGCTGGGAAGTAGGAGGTAGATAGGGGGTGGAAGAAAGTTCTTTTCTGCACAAAATGCAGAGCGTAAGGAGTAAGAAAGTACAAATTGATAATGCTTTTGCATGCAGAACACTGTGCTCATACACAGGGACAGCTATGTCTTGTGTATTTTCATTTCTGTTAGCATGATTAGTTTTGGCATTGTATATAGACCTCTTCAGACTCAGCTAATTTATTTTGGTGTGGCAGTTGCACCAAAGCAAATGCATTACCATGAAGTCACTGAAATGAGTGGAGACATGCTAATAGAGCAAGCAGAATAGCTAAAGTGTAGTGCAGAGGTTAGAAAGCAATGCTTTGTAAGCTAGATATAAACTCAGAACTTCTTTTGATTAGAAAAGAATTATTTCTCATGTTATTATAGAATAATGTGATGATGTGCATTGATGTTAGATCTGCCAAAGATACACTGAAACTCCTATTTCAACCTCAGTAAGAGAAAGATTTTCATCCCTGTTGGAGTATCCTCTATAGAGCTAACTCGTTAGGATTTTTTTGTATTTTTCTTAATTTATGGAATGGTAACCAGAGACCGGGAGCAGGGGCATAAGGGCAACATTGCACAGCTGCACACAGTGAGAAGCTTTAGCAATTATTACTAAAGTAGCTGAAATGTCACATTTGCATAGTGTACAAATCTTTTTAATCAGTTCCTACTGTAATTTCTGGACACTGAAGAAGCCCCTGAAGTCATCACAAACACTAACAGAAGCAAAAGATTCAGCTTTCTCTCTTTAAATAAAAAGAAAAACCTCATTTTTTAGAAACACTTTTTATTTTAAAAATAGATGCGTAAAAGACAACAGCCAACTATTCCCCACCCTAAGCTCTGAAAAACTTCACAAATGCTGTTCGTTCCCTTCATTTTAGTCCTCATGTCCCCAACTTCAGTCAGCTGTATGAGTGTGTCTGAGTATGATGAGTATGATGTGTCTGAGAAGACAAGAGAAGGGTTCTACTCCATATTTTATTTAGTCTAATATAACTGTATCAAGTATCATTGCAAGACTGACTGACCTAAAAAGAAGTTCATTGCTATCAAACTTTGGTGTCCCATGTCAAACGCTGAATGGCTGACAGGATAATTTTACTCCTATGAACAACAACTATGAAACAGGAAATTGCTTTTAAAAAAACCCAAACAAACCAACAACAACCAAAAAGCCAAAAAAACCCAACAACTCACAAACACTGCGGGAATGGAAAGAGGTCAGCATTGACCTCTTTGACTGACACACATAAAATAGTGTAGTGCCTCTAAATTAACAAATGCTTCCATGACCATGAGAGCACAAGCATTTCTTCCCATGAAGTGCCCTCTTCCTGAAACACTGCAAGAATATGGAAGCAAATAAGAAGCCTACCATTTGTTCTATGCTGAAGGTGCAGACATCTCAATGCCAAATATATCAACCATGTAGTAATGAAGCATATAACTTGCAAAGGTGAAGGGAAACAGTGAGGACAGTTGCGATAAGGTAAGAAAACAGCACAAGTTTTCAGACTTATCTGACCTGTTCACCAAAGAATATCATCCAGCAAGATCAGAAGATAAAAGATTTTAAGTAAAACTTACATGAGATATAGTTGTTCATGCCTGTTATTGCAACTGGCCTATAGAAAATGAAGTACAAAACTGAAAGTAATCAATGTACAGGCTTGGATTTTGCCATTAGAGTAGCATCAGACCAAAGTCATCGCAGCTATCACTCCTGCTAAGACATTAATTTATTTTAGCATAGAAAAAAACACCACAGAGAAGAATATTCCTTTGCTACTTTGGAAGCTGCATACCAGTGCGTGAAGAACAGAATAAGCAGAGAATACTATGACTGAGGTGGAACAAGCTATAGGGCTGTAAGGCTGGGAAAATGAGCAGTGTTGTACTCCACGAGCAATTCCCTGGACTGTACAAACTGCACTCCATAGAATATTCTTCCGTAAGATTATATTCTTCTTGAAACTTTCCATAAAACATGGAAAGCATCAGGGGAAATCTCAAGCTTATTTAATTTTAGCTATGAAACAAGATATAAAGCCATAGGAAAATGTGCTTGTGGAGAACTTTATTTTAAAGGTTCATTTTCTATAGGTTCAATATGGCATTGCTAACAACATTCTGATCAAAAAGCAATGTTACCAAACATAAATTTATTAACACTTCCAAGTTTTCCTGTCTGCATCTTCTCTCAAATGTCAAACACCATTCTGTTTTGCATTGGCATTATCTTGAGACATTACTGAATAAATATGGAACTCCAGTGACATCAGCTGAGAGTTCTCCTTCCAATGAATGGCTCAATGCCCAGCAGTCTGTAATTGTTCGCTGAACCGGTCATTAAGGAATTACCATTCACTCCAAAAAACCTTTTTTTCCTTCAGTCTCTGTGGAAGGAGTGGAATTTGCTAATAATTCCGTGAAACGTAATTTGAATTTCCTAACTAATTCAAATAACAGATATTCATGCATTAAAGATTGTGGTCGCAGTCCCATTAGTTCTAGTATTTTTTTTTTTTTTGTAAGTTACCAAAACCAATACTCTGCTACATGGTTTTGAACTGAAGAAGGCTGCAAACCTCACTGCTTCTGCCAGCTGAACCAGTAAACTAAAGAAAGCAGCCTGTGAGCATAAAGACTAATGAAACCTGCTGTCACAGGGCTGGATTCCTTGGTAACTGACAAGATACTATCCCATCTGAAGTGTCCCCCAGCTGTGCTTTGTCTTTCCCCCCACGTAGAGTCAATTTGCCCGATAATGGGTTAGTTTGCAATGCAGCCCTGGGATTTTCATATGGCATCTTTCCTTTCCTCAGTTTCTTGGTTTCATAAAACTTCTAGAAATCTAAGTATCTTAGACTTCTATCTCTTTCCCCTCTGAACTCCTTCCTCCCCAAGAAAGTTATGCTGAAAATTCGTTGAAAGCACTTAATTATGGAGGATGAAGAAGGTAGATAGGCATACTTGCTATCTTGGATTTTAGCCAGTGTAACAAGACATCTCTGTTTTATTAATCAATATTCAGGATAACGTATACTGCTACACTTGCAAAAGGCCTCCTTTTACATCCTATGCAAATAAAGTAGTTTTATGGATAAGCATCATAAGCAGTAGTATTGGAATCCAGAGAACTCAGGAGGAGAAAAGAAGGATGACGAGAACAGTATAATTTAATAGGTGCAGAAAAGGAAGGAAAACAAAACCAAAAAAAATAAATCAATATTTGTGTTTTCAGAAAGTTCCTGAATACTCCTTGAGCTCTACAATCCAATTTCAGTGTTGTTTTCCATTTCCATGCTGTATATAACAAATCTTATACCCCAAGTTTCTGAAGATAACTATAAAATTTCTACAACCATTTTCCTTCTTCCACATACTTCAGTTTTATTGAAAGAACTCTTAAAAAACCCCTTAAAAGTTAGCGATGGCTTCACAAATGAAATCCCAACTTGACTGCATTCCATAATTAATCAGTGAAACCAAGTGTCACACAGTGCCATTGTTCTCAAGAGTTTAGAAGTGAAAGTACAGAAATGATGTGGTGTACCAGCATGAATTAAAAACCAGTGCCTATACAGTTTATGGGCTAGAAGTACCTAGGGTTACTGAATTTAGCCTGTTTAAGGCACTAGCTACCTTAAAAAAGTCCAAACACTTTAATTAATTAAAGTAATTGGTATTTATTATTATTTTAAAAGGAAGACAGAATAAGAACGGGCACTTGACACATGGCTTGTCTATGGGATTTGGCATATGTTGCTGGCTAGCACAGGAGAGCTGCCATTTTCTTGGCAAACCTGCAGTGTAAGACTAAGAGGTACGATCCTTCAACGTTTTACTCCCCCTCTTTCTCCATATATGCTTAATGATGGCATTGAATAAGGGATTTTCAAATAAAACTCTCCTAGGCCTTGGCTGCTAAATGTTGTATCACGATCAGCATATTATTTAAATATAATTACCTATATTCTGCTTTCATAAGGGGATAAAAAAGAAGAGGAGAACTTGTCATTTAATAGCATGTCTGTTTTAGAGAAGGTGTATAATTATGCTTTTAAAATAAATTTTGGTTCCAAAGCTAGCCTTAGCTTAGCGACAAGGCTCTTTCCAGTGTGGAGATAGCTCTACTCCACAGCAACTTGTACCCAGATTGCCACCTCACGCATGGTCCACTATGTTGAAAGGGGACACAGAGAAATAATTTAACAAAAGTATACTTTTTCCACAAAGGATTATATCTGTTGTGCTATAGAATAGTATTGCTTTTGCACAGACATAGATGAGCAAAAAGACAACATTAACTCTTGAAAGTCAATTAAAGGAAATATAAACGTCTATGCCAGTTAGCAAGCTGGTCAGTATTTTAACCTGGACTTTGAAAATCCCTTATGTAATTTTGTCTGTTTGTCTGATGTTTCTGAAGCGACCACCTCTATAAAATAGTAACGTAGAGCAGGTCACTTACCTTTTTGACACTTAAGGTATTTTTACTGTGAACATGGTATATGTACTACTCCTAGTACTAATAAGATCGTAATGGAAATTAGTGAGCAATTCTGACCAGTTAAACAATGAAACAGAACAAAGACAATGACCACCTGAGA